TGTAGATATATTTATCCTAGTTTCCGGTAAAGATTTATTATACACACTTATATTATCAATCGAATTGCCGGAGCCAGTAACTGAGTGGCTAGAGGTATGTAATGACTGAATAGAAGGGGGAATTATAATACTTACCTCCGTCTCCGGTAAAGTTTCTTCGCATACTTTAGTTTCTATATCATATTTTGGTTGAGCATATACTCGTGAAGAATTCTTCACGCCGATCAATTTCTGAGATTCGGACGATGGTATTTTCGTATCTAATTCTTCACTATAAAGATTTATAATATTTTGAATTTGAGTACCGGTTAAACTAGAAATAGCATCAACACTATATGTAATGTACTCAATTTTATCTATTCCTATCCCTTTGAATAATGTATAGATAGTTCTAGCTTTTTTAGTCATCTTACGCAAATACTCTCTCTTGATACCAGGTAGATGCTGCATCATTTCATCATACTGTATATTTGCGTTCTCGCCATTTGATCACTAATATTTCTTTCTGAACTGAGATTTGAAACTTTTTTTTCATATTCCTCACTATAATAATACCATCGCAATTTTTCTTTTCGCCCAGTTTTTTCGGCCTTGCCAAATAAAAGAGCCAAATGAGGTACAGAACCTAGGGATAGATATGCGTCAACAGGAATCTCCGAAATCTATTTAATGAAGCTAGGATTCAATTGAGGTTTATTTAGATTTTGTAAGGACATGAAATCGGTACTTTTAGCCACGTAGTGACCGCCCTCGGCAATAAATTCGAATAACTCATGTATTAAACCTTGTTCTACTTTCTGATTATAGGGGATCTTCATCTGGGGAGAAATAACACTTAGTTCAGGAGAAGTAATGCTTTGTGCTTGATCAGTAGAGAATTTGGTTTCGGGACAATGAAGCTTTATCTTCGAAGTATTTGATTGATTACTCTGTAAGACATAAGCCAGATGTATTCCGAGATTTCGATTGGTTATTCATCTGTTCAGAAATAATAACAGAACGGTTATCTTTAGGAGTTGAGAGCGTCTTTTGATCTCGAAGCTTCTTTTCTCTGATTTTCTCAATTTATTCTTTACTAATCTGTTCCTTATATCCCTTTTTTACAGAATTTAGAGTCTTAGCCGAATCATCAACGTCTTGCTGTAAAGAGGTTGCAGGAGGTTCAAGCTCGGTTGAAGATTGTACTAGTTCAGGCATGGGATTGGGAGTAATAACTTTCTCTTTATTAGATTAATTCTCGGCCTTTAGCTTGCTCACACCAATAGATGACATTTCAGGATCGCCTATTATTTCAGGAGAAATAGCGGAGCTAGTGCCAATGGTAGAACCACGAGTTTTCAACTCAGGACACACAGTAATCCGTGACTGGGGCTGAGAATTTACCGTTGATTCTGGACAGGTTAAAGACAGCTTTTGTTCTAATTTCGTGACCATATCTCTAAGTTCGGTATTTTCCGTTTGGCTTTGCTTTGCATTCTCAGCGTTTTCTTTTGCAGTATGTTCTAATTTCACAAATATGATCTCAATCCCTTCCTTATCTTGTTTTATTTTTATATTCTCAGCCTCGACTTTTGCAAATTTCTTTCTAAGTTCAGCAATATCAGATACAAGTTTGATATTCAATCCCATTATTTTATACAAGATGTATATACTGTACAGTATGTTCAAAAGTTTGATAAAATCACGTGCGCGTGAAGAATTCTTCACGCCGATCACTTTTGCCAAGAAAAATTTATCGATCATAAATACTCATACATATGCAAAAGTAAACGTGAATATGTATGCGAAATCGAACCATCAGGGCTTCCTGTACCCACTTTTTTGCTTCGCAGACACAAGGTACCTAATCAACCGTGATCGTTACATGAATGAGACGGTGATCGATACATGATGCATCCGCAATGAGCGATGTCCGTGCCACTCCCGATGATATATTTATTGCAAAGCAATGGGCTTCGCCTTACACGAAAATCCCTTTATTTAACCAATGACTCATCAATGATATATTTACATGACCTTTTAAGGGTTGAAAAAATCTATGGGTGATTATGTAACTATTAACAACGAAACAATAAATCTAGACTACATTATCAGCTATTCAGCATCAGATATCGTCTCACGTATCTTAAGTCTAAAGAAAAAAAAATAAATTGATCCAATGATCATGGATTATGTAATACTAACAATTGACTCAGTACAACCTTATATACTATTATTTATTCTTGGGAGTTTTTTGGGGGATGCTGATGTTTCTGGGAGATTATCTATTGTAAATAAATCCTGACTTTGTGCGTAAAGCAATTAATTTTATTTTCTTAACAGTATCAAGAACATTGTTTATATTTTTCTGCAATTATCGAAAACAATTAGAAACTGAAATTTGTAAAAAATTGACAATATAAAGACACACCTTTAAGCATAGAATATCTTTTAAAGACATGAGACTTTCCGGAATACTTACCGATCCGATACCGACATGTCTCAAAAACGAAATAATATTGAAGGTCATTATCGTAGTACATTGCATAGATCTTTCCGTTAAGACCTTGAATGTAAAGGATGGGTCTCAGACAAGAGTGAAAGATAATCAATACAAGAATTTCTCCATTGCTTTTTATAACTACCTCTTTGATTTATTCCATGTACAACAATGTTCTTTATCCATTTAATTGTTTCCTTTGTAAATTTTAACTTCTTTAAGAGACGGTCTAGTTGATCCTTCATTTCTCGCAAAATTTTATGCTTGTAGGAAATCGGTTTGGAGTTTTGTGGATCTTCGTCAACGTATGTTTCTGAACCGAAATATTCCACATCATCAATACGAAATAGAATATCAATTTTGTGTCCAGATTGTTTTTTTCCCGATTCTTCCCTTGATAAGTTCTTACGCTCAGTAGATGCCAATGATATCTCTTCGCCTCTAAGATAATGGAAAAAATAATTTGAGACTCAAAGCTAAGAAATTAACTATCGCAACAAATTTTATTAGGAAACTTCATACCAACCGATGAATTTGAATTTCTCACATGTCAAAAAGCAATCATCAATCAACGGAGTCAAGATATGACAATTCTGCCAACCTTCAGAGTTTTTATCCAAGAGCGGATTTCGTGAAGCTCAAAAAACAATGATCTAGATATTAAGATGAATTGTTATGAGATGGGTTATAACAAACAATGCAAAAATTCTGTCTATAGAAACGAGAACTAAATAAAGACTCACAGTTTGTCAGCAAAACGATGGACCCAATGTATTTCATAGTGTTTGCTAAATGAATATGTTCATCTGGTGAAACAAATGGAAGTTGAAGTTTGCTACGGAATTTACTGCGAGTATCAGACTGAAATCAGATATAAGGAAAAAGTTAATGATAATAAAGAAAAAGAAATTACTAGTGACAAATCCTTAGAACATACGTTATCGATTAATTCATCAATATATTTTGTAGCCTCATTAGTGACGGGATCCCATGTATAATCGCGTTTGATTTTCAATCTATCCATTAAAAGCTTGTTTGTTGTGTCGATTATGTTTGAGCAGATTGGTTCACTATAAAAAAAAAAAAAATGATGAAAATAGTCAGTTAGTAATATAATGTAGGAATATAAATTAGCTTTAATAGACTTGTTTTTACTTACTACGTGGATTTCGTTCGCTTTTTTTCTTGTCTTAATCGTTTAAGTAAGTCTTGATTTTTAGGTGTAGAGCGAATTTGATGAGGCGGAGTACGTAGTATATTACACCCGGAACTATTAACATCGTTTATATCACTAGTCATTTCCGTAGCTCCAATTGGCATCTCCAAGGATTGTGAACCTAATGATGATGG